GTACCGAGACAAAATCGGCAGACAGGGCATTCCACTGTCGGCAGATTCGCCAAGCGAAGAATTGTCCTCTGCAGTGCAGCCGACTGTGCTGATGTGTGAGTCTCAGTGGTGGGCACGTAGGTGGGAGTACGATTGATGCAGTGTGAGTTGCGACAGGTGTCCAGGGTTGGATAAGGTCATAATTACAAGCATCAGGTCGCACCGGAAACGTCCGTACTTAGGCGAGTAGAGACCTAGACAGTGAAGTCATTGTGGATACTCTAGGTGCTTGAGACCTCGGACCAATTTTGTTGCTCGACGTTGTTCGCTTCGAGTATACGTTAGTCCTTCAGCAGTCAGGGGCTGTAAGCCTAAATAGTAAACTCCAAGTGGAATTGAAGAAAAGCGTTGAGGAAGAGGCGGCAATTGCCACGGCCAATTAGACCTAAGGCTCATTTCAACAATCACGCCATGCGGTTAGCAGCAGAAGCTACTTCCCGGCAGGGAGCGGATACGGCAAGCCTCGTCTGGGTACTGATACCCAAGTCTATTTCAGCTGACGAGATCTGGTGGATAGACGCTCCCAGGAAATATACAGGTGGAAAAAGAGGAAGGGTGGGTAGAAAGGAGACCATCTTTCGAAGCGTTAACTGGAAGATTGTTTGCTATGGACCACTGACGTAGACTTTCGAGGTCCGTATGAAGTGCGTGGACATCGGCATGAACGTTAATTTTGCGTTACCGCTTCGCGTCATACTCATATAGTAACAGCGAAGTCTCCACTTGCGGTGTGACGTCATCAATGAAGGCTAAGAAGTGGTCCGGTCCGAGAACAGACCCCTGTGGAGCTGTGCTTGTGGCAAGGATGCAAGGGGGCAACGCCCTGTCGACGCGTGTTGGATGGTACGGTTTTTGAGGTAGTTCCGGATCCACTCCAGCAAGGTCGCTGATACGCCGTAAAACAACAGTTGCTGTAGTAGGATGTTGTGGTCGACCTTATCGAAGGCTCTGACGAAATCCAAGAATATGACATGCGTTTCTAGACCAGAGTCGACTGCAAGCATCCAACTATCCCTGGCTTGTAGCACGTTACTCAGACACGATCGTTGTCGCCGGAAGCCGTGCTGGCACTCGGAAAGTAGTTTCGGGGCCTCCATATGGTCCAATAAAGCGTCTGCGAGGATCGATTTCTTCACTTTGGAGACCGTAAAGTGGAGGCTTATCGGTCGGCAATTGGCCGGGTCTTTGCGAATACCGCCTTTGTAGGTTGATGTAATAGTACCACATTTCCAATTATCGGGACCTTTGATTTGCGAGATGGAGTGGGTAGACTGCTCTGCTATGGGTAAATCGAGAGCCCCAGCGCACGCTCGCAAGAGCCTAGGGTATAAACCCTCAGCCCTAGGACAGGCTGTTAGTCGCAGGGATTTGAGTTCCGACAGGACCTTCTCCGAAATGAACAGAGCGGTCGTCAAGGGGTGAGACCGAAGAAGGTACCGTCCTTGTATGCAATGATGGAACGGAGAATGTGGATGTGTACTGCTGGCACAGGACTTCTACTGCCTCATTCGTTTACTTTGTGAGCCCTCTGGAGGTCGTCAGCGTGGTGACACCGTGCTTGACTGGTCAGAGACTGTTGATGTGACTATACAAATTCTTGGGATTAGATGAAGATTTATGCATAAGCTGACGCGTACAAGATGGATGCATTGGTTACCGATGGATCGGTAGTATTCCCACTGAGTAGCCGTTGGATGCGAGCGATAGTTTCTCCAGGCCGTGTCCCTGGAGGCAATCCAATTCCGTGTATGAGTTCGGATGAGTGCTGAGCGTCTCTTCCCAATGGAAACTTGTTTGCGGGTCGTAGTAGTGGAGCAGAGTTTGAGTAGGGTAAGGCAAAAGGTTGACCACACGTTGTCAAAACCCGATTGCGGCTCGCGTGACCAGTTGTCAGCGGAAATGAGAAGGTTCAACTTTCCGGAATCAGTCTAGCGTTCTGTATAAGTTGGCATGCTGATGGTTTTTCGGCGAAGCATATAAAATCGAAACGAAGGACGCAGTGGTCACTGAGCCCCAGAGCAGCCTCATACTCAGTGTGCTCAACCATTGATCAGACCACATAGTTGGACTGCGCCTTGAATCACCGAACAATATGCCATTTATTTATTTATTCAGTGAGGATGAGAGTTAGCAGGGATGGTTGGTTGTGGGATCGGAATCTGCTTAGCTGATAGGTGTGCTTGTACTAAGGAGCCGTGTGAAATAGAGCAATGAGGCCTGATGCAAAGGAGTCGGTAGAGGAGACAGAATGAGGTAGATCGGCAGGTTGCAATCTCCAATGATAAGAAAGGGTGTGCGGTTGTGGGTTAACCTAAGGTGGACGTCGTGCACTAGTCGTGCGGCCTTCTCGGGGTGTTGTTAGGGGGCGTTAAATGATGCCAAGACAACCGGAGTGTTTAGCGGTTGGTACGACCTCGCGCCACATGGTGTCTGGAGACTGGAGGGCAGTGTTTTTTCAGATGCTGCAACTGAGGGAGATATCTTAGTATAGCACGACACCGCCACCTGAGGTTGCGCAGTCAGGGCGGAGAACTGACCTGTGAGGAAATTGGATTTGACCGTCGGTTTTTTCCTCGGAGAGCCGTGTTTCCGTTATGGCTATTAGGTCCACTGGCGTTGGCAGAAGTCGGGATTGCAGTTGCGGAAGTTAAGACATGAGTCCCTATGCGTTCGTGTAGATAAAGGCGAGGCCCGTTTGATTGATAAGCGCTGAAGTAATTAGAGTGCTGCCGGTCAACAGATGGTCGGCAGTGCACCGCACTTTTTGGTCTAGAGAAGTGTCGCCGCTAAGGTTCGCAGTTGGGGAAGCAAGGTGTGAGTCGTCGGAGCACAGCTGGGTACTGACACCTGGTTTGTTGACATTCTGAAGGTTGAAATGTGTAGGTGAGTATATTAATTCAAGCAGTGAGGCAGTTGGACTGGTGATGGACGCCTGAGGACACACACACACACGCTATACACGTTACCTAGAGTAGGGAAACACCTCAGCTACTGTGCCGCAATGCCTATAAGAAAAAGGGAAATAAAATGCAATAGGTGCAAGCCAGCTGGGCTATCGGTAACGGATGGGCATCGTTCCGGTAAGCTACTTACCGGCTATTATGCAGCAGAAAAATATATAATAATTTACTACGAGAAATTATAACATGCTAAATGGTGAGATCGTGGTTGGAGGGTGAGGCTAAGAGGGATGCGGAGGGAGAAAGAAACTCACAGCACGAACGCCACTGAGGTCGGCTCCTAGCCCTATCAACTAATGTTTCCAGCCAGACGTGTTCATCGTCTTTCGGACCCCAACCAGGGTGTCGGGACTCTCCAACCGAGACCAGCTCCGAAGTGAGCGCCTTCACTCCTCTCGACGGAGTCATCGCTTGGCCACCCCGCCTTTTCTTCCATCCACACCCCGACGCGCATACAGCGCACGTCGCGGGAGTCGGTGGGCTGGCATGCGTAACATGTGGCCAAGCCATCGGAGCCTGGTGCATGAAATGACCGTGCTGAGCGGTTCATTTCTTTTACTGTGCCGTAAACAAGTCGTCGAACACGCTCGTTGCTAACTCGGTGTTCAGAGGGTGACTTCTTAGGTTAGTGTTGTGGTTCAATTCCAGCAGCGCACGGCAAGTGTGGTTTGGATTCTTCAGAATCTTGTAAACCATTTTGAGATCCCGCAAGCAAAAGCCGATATCGACTGCTGTAGATACCTAGAGATTTCAGTCTAAACTGATAGGGCTGATGAAAGAGGCCCCTGACGTTTTTGGTTGTCCTTCGTTGAGGTGTCGCTAGAGCGAGGAGATCCTGTTTCTGCCACGGCTGCCACCCCTGAATAGCACATTCCAAGTGCCATCGCATGTAGGTGTTAAGCATTTGGGAAAAGATTGAGATTCCAAACCGACCGAGGACTCTGAGAAGAAGCCCGATGCTTATAAACTCCCGTAGGATGGTCAGCATTAGAATCACATAGGGGTGAAAAATACAGTGTTTAATGGAAATTCATTTTAGTGGACTCGCAACAGTGCTCACACTGAAGTATGCACAATAGAGTTAATCTTGATTGTGTAGGTTAATGTTGATTGTCCAACAGTCGTCACAGTATGTTATCTGTTGAAATACACAAGCTATATCTCGTAGTGCAGGTAGGTTAGGGCAACCTCAAGACGTAGGTTAAGCATAGACAAAGTGGGGGTGGGAACAACATAATTTGGGAGGACTTTCCATGCCTTGCAGACACGAAGAAAGCAAGTGTTTCACCGACGTTCTAGTTGAATGTACTACGTGGTCAATTTGGTCTGGTGGCCTGTCAAATTCGTATTGTGACTGAGTTGCAGTAAGTGGCGACAGTCGTGGTTACGGGTTTCGCAAAAGCTTGTAGGCCGCTATTAGGTCGCCACACAGGCACAGGCAATGACCGGTGTGCAACCTTAGAGTCCTCGGCCTAAGTTGATATGGAAGATGGAATAGCCCTTTGGCGTGCTTCATCACTCTTCGCTGTTGAGTGTCGAGCGCTGCAAGACCTTACTTGGGCCATGCCTAGATTGCGTATTCCACGTGAGGCTGTAAGGTAGGCGCTAAGCAACTGCGAACATACAGAGGGATCAAACCACCCGAATGCCCTCCGCAGCATGTCAACGTATTGATTTCCAGTCTTTGACGCCTTCTCAGATTATTCTGAGCAGCCTAGAGCAAGGAGGCGTTGCCAAAATGGCTTCAAATAATGAGTTTATGATAAATCCATTCACAGGCGTTGAAGCACTACTTCACGTTTTGCGGATTGACAGAGTAAGAAAAATTGCTGGATAGTTGGACCGTGTTAGATTCATGCTAGGACATTGTTCATTGTTATATACACGCAGGTTATACCTAACTTCTCAGACACATCTAATGTTAATCAAAAAAGATGCAGAACTCCGTTTGGTTTGCAACAAGACGTGATATTTTCACTTTCACGGTCTTTCTACTACCAGGGTTTCTTCAGTAACGATCTACCAGAAGGTCCCGGTATCTATAGGTCCTCCAGGGGTGACGATCGAGGGGTCGATGTTGGATACTGGCATGCTGGTCGGCTATCCCGATTACTCTTCCCTGTTATGCACAAGGGGGAGCACTTTTCATGGATGAAAGAGTTTCCGGAATACACTTTTTATGCTGCTGTAGAAGGTGTCAATGCTGCCACACTGGTTACACAGTCTAGTTTACCTGCAATCGATCAAAAATTTCCCATGGCGAAAGAGGACACAGGGGTCCAGGAAGATCAATCCAATTTCGCTACTACAAAAGCAACCTGTATGTTGACGGATCTGGTAGCAGAAGACAGCATCCCTCTGAAAGGTCTCATATGTTCGGTAAGTTAGTTGGCCCGTTTTTGCAGTGTAAGCTATATGGAATCATTGATGTGTGTGGGCAAAGAGTGTATGATCCCCTCGCCTTCAAATGGTGGCAGCCCTTAAGTAACATCAGTGTCTTTCAGAGGTGACAAAGTTTTGGCCTCAGCCATAAAAGCATTGACCAACTAACGTTAACACTGCTAACAAGCATGCTAAAATGGGAGCCTAGTGGCTATTAGGATCGTCGGAAAATGAAAAACAGGTTGCTTTTGGTTCCGGTAGAGGTTAAGGTGAGCACATCTGCACGCTCTAAACACAAGTGACATACTCTGTCTTCCTATATCCGTAAAGTAATTCGCTTTCGTTGCTCATGCCTTTTGTGGTCGTGTCAACGACTGAATGGCACTCCCTATGAATCATCTGTCGATGGGAAATTGCCACATTGTGGCTCGTAAATTGTAGAAGGAAACAGCATAATTACCGAAGGAGGTTACACATTTCATAATGCGCTCCGCGATATCAAGGTGGGAAGTTCCGCAAATGGATTGCGTCGGCGTAACTCCGATCATTACAAATAGCGGATAATCTAGGTACTTGGTTAATTTATTTGTTCAAGTAACTCTATCATTTCATGCAATTCACTCGCAGATTCTGATATTATACGTGCAGCTCAACCCATGATATTGTCTTAATATTTCAGGTATCTACAAACTCGGCGGAATGTTGGCCAAGTAGGCAGAGATAAGGGTGAAAATTGGCAGTGCTGCCTGGATAATTTTGTCGTTCGAAAACATAATCCCTACGCTGCGAAGGAATTATCAGCCTGATTTTTCGCCGGAGTTAGTATGGCGCTGCTTATACTCCTTTTTTCAGGGTGCTCTTGAGTATTGGTCTGAAAGTAAATGGAAAGCATTAAAGACTTCTGTGGCCACCACTGTTAGAAAGTGGTAAATGCATTTGTGAATACGTATCGCGGTTTCTAAAGTGCAGGAAACTGTCAACGGGAAAACTTTGTTTGATTAGCGATACTATAGACAGCGAGACGAAGTTATAACGGGTCCCCATTGAACCGCTTCCGGTTGGAAATTTCTTTGCAAAACTAGGACGTAGGCCTCATTGAACAATTACCACCTTACTTGGTTCCTACTGGAGGCACACCTGGATAATAACTTTGTAATTTGTGGTTAAAATGCTGCAGTTTGCATTCTACTAAAGCAGATCAACAGCTTGCATCCTTCACCCGAATTTATTAGTAAAACTAAGAAAGAAAAGACTGGATTTCGCAAACTTAACAGTCGGAAAGACTGCATTGTAGGAAAGGCTACTTGAACACACGAATACATGTGCCTTATTAGATTAGTGTTTTTAAATCACTGCCATAGGACCAACACGACACTACGGGAAAACCACGGCCGCGCCCTGTTCGTCAGCAAGCATGATACGCTCCGTAACCAACAAAAGGCGATCACGATGGTGCAGAACCGTGATATTTGCCTCCAAGCCTATTGATGCTATGTATCATCTTCTTTAAAAAATAGGAAACATTTTTAATGCTCTAGTTTAACCATTCGAAGTTAACTGTAACAAAGTTGTTTACGAAAGGTTTCGTTATTTCGCAGGGCCTCAACATGGACCCACCTTTTATTTTGTAAACTACGCTCAAGGTAAATTTATTTGCATCCGTGACGTAAACTACGAAATCACGACGGAAACGAAGACGACAACATTAACAGTTTCTGCTGATCCTCCGCTACTTTATAAACACAATGCTCTAGGGAGTGAAGAATTGTAAGATGGGGAAAACGGGAACTAGGTAGGAGAGTGACAGAAAAGTGCTGGGACTGGTGTCACAATGATCGATTTGACCAGAAACTGTCGGATGCTTTGGGCTTTGGAAGCAAGTGCGTTGTCACGTTGAAGCAGCCGGGAGTTATCCTCCCATAACTATCACTAGTTCTTACACACTGAACCAAGCAAGCGCTGCAGTATTTCTCCGTAGATGTATTGGGTAATCTTCTAATTCTGTGACAAGAACTCGCAGTCGGTAATCTACCCAACATCGAAAAAGTGATAAAAATGACTTTGGACTCCGATTGTCGCGTTTTCTGCAGACTATATGACCTAGAATTCTTCCACTAAAGGCTTTGGCATTTGAGCACCGGACCGTGAAGAGAATCGTCGTGAAGCATCTACTTTTTTAGTCACGACGTAGACGCGCTTGATTTATTGTCCACTCCATGTTCAGGAGGGGTAGAAAAGCGACCCGTGTTGAAGACTTGGATGACATCAGATCGGCTGTGATGGAGTTGAGGAGGATCCCGGAAAAATCGTTCTAGGACTGAAGGCAAGGCTATCAGAGAACCAGTGGAAGACATATTGAAGAAAGAACGAAACGGCAAGAAAGCACAATCTTTATTGTACGCCGCCACGGTTTTCACAAGCTACGCACACGTGTTCCTTTATCGACCATGTTTCCGTCCAACAACACAATATACATGAGAAATCACAACATGTCAGTTCCTGCCTCGTCGGCCAGAATATTTCATGGCGCCGGCTGCCTGTCTGACCCCGTAACTTTGCTTCCGTAGTTCGCATTCGCACCAGCCTGGAGTTGTTCTAAAGCCCTTGATTTTCGTGACCTCGGTTGCGTTATTCGGCTTCGGTTTACCCCAGTGTGCACCGACAAAGGTGTTGCTGTTTGATTTATGGGTCTATTGACACATCCCTTTTAAGTACTCGTTGGATCGGGCACGTTATTGTTCGTTGTTCGCGTGGCACTGTCCGATCTCATCCATGATATCTGCGCGCTTTTCGGTCCTCACTCGTTCTAGTGGCTTTTCAGTCTCCTGCGTGATCGCTGCCTCACGCGTCACTACAATATTGGGCCCCGAAAGGATTATTTGAAGTGGCAACCTTTTAGTGCGAGGTTCAGGTTTGCAATACACATTTTGTGACACCAGTCGTGTAACTTGTCAGACGCACTTCACATTTGTGTGCATACTGGTATCGTTCTTTAAGAATAGACATCGAGTCAGTCAAAGCCAGGGAAAATAATAGCAGATAATGCGGAGAAACAAGGACCAATGTTATTTGTCGTTTCCCATCCGCCTTTTGCAATTTTCTTCATTTTCTCAGAGTTAATGTTTTTGAACTTGGAAACTTGCGCAAGCATATTCACATTGATTCCGCTGCATCCGGTTTCATGCCATTGCTTCGAGCATTTCAATGCAATGGCGTTAAGTAGCTTTATGTCTCCAACCGGAAAGACATTCGAGCCGATCAATGGTTGGGCAAGATGTGAAAGATTTGGAGCGTTGTACACAAGCGGCCGACTAGCCTCCAGACGGCCTCTTCCAATGCTGCCCTGTGCAAGCACACATGGCTCTGTAGGACAAACTTTCGCTCGGCATGCACGAGACGTGGCTAAATAATCCAAACAAGTGTGACAGAATAAGCTCACATAAGGGAATGTCCATTTTGTCTAAGGGGCTGTATCTGACATCGTCTTTGCACACTCGATGGTACCAGCATACACAGACGATCCTTCCCAAGCAGTCACTGTCGAATGCCCAAGGCCTAGGTATGTCATTTACGTGAGTCAGCTAGAATTTGCTTTCTTGCAAGGTACTACGCAAACATGGGTATCGTAAACCCTGCAATTTGGCGAGAGCAAAATGACTCAACGAAACCACAAAGGTCTCAAGTTGACAAATCTGATCGGGATTTAGCAGTACAACCAGAGATTTTCTCCCCAGTAGTGATGCCGAAGAAAATGCAGCTCTCTTCGTAGACGAAATTCGCCACGTATTCAAGCTGTATGCCTTCGATGGTGAACTAAGAAAGAAGTGTCTGCCCATCTTGTATCTACCCTTTACTCTTAGAAAGGGCAAAGCACATACGTAACGCTTAAAACAGCAGTCAGTCAGTGATAAATTGCATGGTGTGGGAGTCATCATAGAGCAACGCGATATAATCATGGTAATCCAAGTCGATTGGGGACCTAAGGTATCACCGAAATGCTCTAACCAAACATTCTGAGCCAAAGCACTTACGTTTTGTCAGACAAACATGCGATCACAAATTACTGGCTATCGCATTAAGATAAGGTAGCAACAGCGAGACAGTTTCCTTGCGGTTCTCACTAACCTACGTCACAATCATTCGTTAATTAGCAGATAATGTGCAAAGCGATCTGATTCCAAGAACATGTCCTACAAATCGAAGTAAAACGAATTTCAAGCACACTCGTATGCCTTTGCACTGAATTAACAAACATACGGCTTATAATGGTCATTCATGGACTATATGCTGAATTGCCGACGCCAGTAGTTTCTATAGTCTGCGCACTGTCTCGCTGTCCCACTTTCTCCTAAATATTTAACAAGTGAATAAAATCTAGAATACCCGGTGTTTGTACGATACAAATAACATTAATTCCATGGGGGCCTACGCCAGGCAAGAAAACGATTGAGGCTAACTATCCAACGATTTCACGCTCTGTTAGCTTTAACGATCCAGAGGAATGTCCAATCGATGTGCATCCATGGAAAACACAGCGACGGGTGAAGATGCGAAAAGAAGAAAAGCTTCTTGCTGCTGACCCACAACAAACCAGGTCAAGCGAAGCTCGAGGTCACCGTCCTCACACGGAAACCGCTTCGAATGAGTAGTGGAGATCAACTGAGTCCAGCAATCCAAGTCCTCAAGCACGCGATGACTAAGGCATGGTTTTCAGAGAGTCTGTTTGATGGTCTCCTCCGTTTGGATGAGGATGGAGTGACAGGAGAGCATGTCTTTCGCCGTAGCTAAAACACTTCTGAGATGAACCGGCTTATACGGGTAACTTTTGCCGACGAAGCCAGCTCAACACTAAAGTTGCCTCTGTTGGGTAGCCTGCAAGGCGATAGAGTGCATATTCGTTCGGATATAGATCCAGCCGACCGAGGGCGTCCTTAGTGTCCCGTCATAGAGCTAAAATAGTGAACCGGCGAGGGAGAAACAGACCCGCCTATTGCAAA